ATTCCTGGGGGTTGGGTTGTTGTTGTGGAGAGAAGCTGTGTATAGCTAACTGTTCATGGGCATATGGGGGGTGGTGGCGGCGGAGGCTGTAGGGCTGAAGTTGCTGGGGTTGTCTGGTCTGAAGTGGTCTGGTCTGGTTTTCAAATAGGCACGGCTCGAGTCGGAGTCGTGTCGATCTTTCGGCTTCGGAGTCGGGGCAGCTGAGCGTGGGGTTGTAATTGTCAACCGGTCCCGGGGCGGGGGACGCAGCGGCCCTTAAGTAAAGTATACCTTGATTCTCGCGAACCGCTGTGGTGCGGAGTGGGGAGGCTGTGTACTGCAACAACGACACGGCTCACGACAAGCGATGGAAGGGAGAAGCGATTGGCGCCCGAGGACCCTTGAGGCTTAGTTCAAGCCGCAGGGGGGCGACAAGCGAAAAGCAGTGCTGGCTGATCCACTGGAGCCATGGAGACGGTAGTGGAGGGCCTCAAAATCGCCATGCTGGCCTGCTGGTCCTACTGGGCCATGGCTGGTTCACAGGTGGTATCAGTCGATAGCGGAACCGGGGGCCCGCGGAGCTCGTTCTGCCAATTGTGCGGCACGGACACTCGGCGGTGCTGTGCTGAGGGCTTGCGGATGGTTTGTGGTGGTTTGTGGTTCGTTGGCGCGGTCTGCCTGCATGAGTGCCCAGCGCCCCGACGTCGGGACTGCGCCTCCCCGTCACTGCACAGCCATTGTGATGCTGCACAGTGGTCACGGGACTGTCTCACCGACAGGTTATCGTACTGTATAGATGCTCAGCCCGGTTGCGGTGCTGCTTTCGGCAGGTGTGTGTGCTTTGGTCGAGGTCCAGGCCGTTTTACCGAATGATTGATTCGGATATAGTCGTCGTCATGCTATTGATGGCATGCTGCAGGGCTTGGCGGTGCCGTTACACTCGTAGTGTATTGTAGTGTTTTCAGCGTCTTATATCACCCTAGCCTTACTTCTTTGATTTTTGTTATTATATTTTTTTTTTT